CTTAAGTAATTATTTATTTGTTTTGACAATTATAATAAAATGTGTAGATATATACATATTTATATTAAGAGAGTGATTATTTCCCCTATTTCACTTGTCTTAAATACTTTCCCAGGAATTATTATGTAAGAAATTTTTTTTACAAGAATTACAAAACATATTGTGTTACGTTCGTTGTTTTTGGTTGTAGTGTGTGGTTTTTTGTGTGTTTAGATTGATACAACTTTGTTTTGTCGGCCTACATTGTGTGTTTTTTTTCTTATTTCTTCAGAGTGCTACTTTCAATTTATTTTACATCATAGCGAAGTAATGACATGCAGCTAGTAATTATATATATATATATATATATATATATATATATATATATATATATATATATATATATATATATATATATATATATATATATATATATATATATATATATATATATATATATATATATATAATACACGTATATAGAACGTGTTAAAAATTCGGCGCCGTTTATTGCTCTTTTCGCTCCCCCTACAACGAAAACCTGGATACGCCTCTGCCCTAACCCTAACCCTAACCCTAACCCTAACGCTAACCCTAACCCTAACCCTAAACCCTAACCCTAACCCTAACCCTAACCCTAACCCTAACCCTAACCCTAACCCTAACCCTAACCCTAACCACTAACCCTAACCCTAACCCTAACCCTAACCACTAACCACTAACCACTAACCCTAACCACTAACCACTAACCACTAACCCTAACCCTAACCACTAACCACTAACCACTAACCCTAACCCTAACCACTAACCGCTAACCCTAATCAGAATCAGAGTGCATAACAGAAAATAAAAAAAATTAATCACATTAGTCCTTAAAATTTAGTGTCTTTTGTTTTAAATAAATTGATAAAAATGTATAGTTATTATAATTATACATTTCTTTTGTGTTTCATTAATATTTTATAAGTATTTAACCTTCGCTCCATGTAAATAATTGAGTTCGTCCACATAGTAACCAGGATTGTCTGGTGGCCATTTTGAATTTGTCGATTCATAATTTTGACGTGATAGTCCAGATAAACTGTAGTAATACGACCCTATCATTAATCCCATTCGATAGATTTTAAAGAATAAGTAAACACTAGCATCTAATAGTTAAGTGCATCCATATTTCAAGTCCCTAGAATGTCCTGAATTAAATAGTTTCACGTCTAAACACATCCTGTGTACAAACGTAGTTCACGCGCTAAACCCGTGGACTAGTAGCGTTCAAATTTACATTAATAACGTGTACTAATTAAACCAAATTGATATTCAAACTTAAAATTCATTTATTAAAATGGAAATGAAACCTTAAAAATGATACTTACAACTTGTTTGAAGGCTCTAGCAAGGGTAAAATCCGTTTAGCATCATCTTTCGTCAACCTTTAAAACCGTTCGGCGAGCAACTCACCCGGGGCTGAAAGTTGACTCGAGGGTTATATGCTTATTGAGGGCACGACTTCGCGACCGTAAATCATAAATACTTGAATTTACAACACAATGTAGTTATAAAAGTGAGCTTTACATCGGTGTAAAAATTGAAACAGAATTAGTTTGTTTTCGTGTATATATTGTCATTTAAAGTTTAAAAACTTATTTTTAAAATGAAATAAGCACGTTATTTTTTCAATTTATACATCAAACGATAGACTAGAATTCGCTCTTTAAAAGGACATTAAGATTATGCTTCTACGATGCTTCGTCGCGAAGCCGCGACCAAATAAAACAGCGTGGGGTCGATCGGTACACGCAAAACGGTGAAATTTGTTGACGTAACTGATACTTTTCAAACAAATATAAAACACATTCGAACATGTTATAGACAAAAATATTTTGTAAACACGAATAGTGTTGAACAATTTAATTATATTCTTAAGTAATTATTTATTTGTTTTGACAATTATAATAAAATGTGTAGATATATTCATATTTATATTAAGAGAGTGATTATTTCCCCTATTTCACTTGTCTTAAATACTTTCCCAGGAATTATTATGTAAGAAATTTTTTTTACAAGAATTACAAAACATATTGTGTTACGTTCGTTGTTTTTGGTTGTAGTGTGTGGTTTTTGTGTGTTTAGATTGATACAACTTTGTTTTGTCGGCCTACATTGTGTGTTTTTTTTCTTATTTCTTCAGAGTGCTACTTTCAATTTATTTTACATCATAGCGAAGTAATGACATGCAGCTAGTAATTATATATATATATATATATATATATATATATATATATATATATATATATATATATATATATATATATATATATATATATATATATATATATATATATATATATATATATATATAATACACGTATATAGAACGTGTTAAAAATTCGGCGCCGTTTATTGCTCTTTTCGCTCCCCCTACAACGAAAACCTGGATACGCCTCTGCCCTAACCCTAACCCTAACCTTTAACCCTAAAACTAACCCTAACCTAATATAAAAACACAATAACAGTTGCTAACTAAAAATGAATCAACTGAACAGAAAGTCAAATATATTTATTATAATAATATGTAGGTTAATAATTCAGACTGTTCCATCTATCAGATATAGTTTATCAATAAAACTGAAAAGCTTTTATACCAACTATGATTTAAAACTTTCACTTTGCTGTAAAATTTTAGCATTTATGATGACAATATATTTCTTTATGAATGTAATTCTTGATCTATTTTGACGTTTACAATTAAATTTGTAGAAATATACATATTTATTTTAATAGAGTGATTGTTTCCCCTAGTTCACTTGTCTTAATATTCTAGCAATCATTATGTCAAATTGTTTATTTTTCAAGGATTACAATACAGATTGTGTTACGTTAATTGTTTTTGGTTGTATTGTGTGTATATTTTTTTTTTATGTTTAGAGTGATAAATTGTTGTGTTTTATCTGCCTAGATTGTGTGTTTTTTTAAATTTCTTTATTGTACTACTTTCAATTTATTTTACATCATAGCGAGGCAATGACATACAACTAGTAGGCAGTGGCGTAGCTAGGATTTTCGGGCCCCTATGCAAAAATTATTATTGGGCATCTACGTCTAAATTGTGTATTTTATACGTCCATAGTTGTGTATTTATACGGTATAATTATGTAGTGCCATAGCGTAAAATACCTTTGATTTTTATATCACTTTTATGTAAAAATAAAGTAACATATTAACTGTAAGCCTGTAACATTCAAGTAACCTAACACAGTAGCGTCACAGGGCAAGGGCCTCACAATTTAGGCGTGACACCATGATCAAAAATTCGTAAAATGTACTGTCAGAACTATTTTTTATTCAGTTAAAATAATAAAATATTAAGGAGAAGGGGAAATCCAAAGTTGTTAGAGGGGGTGGGACACTCATTAAATGCACGGGTGATACCGAAACTTGTGACGCCACTAACCAAATACACATTTTTAAAAAGTTGCTTATGATTTATTTAGATTTTTTTCTTTCTATTAAGAAGAAATGCTTTATATGTTCCTTGAAGTCCATTTTAGCTGCCTTTGTATGTTCGATACTTAGGATGGCCAAGTTATTGACCCAAAGGGCATATCTACAACTTGTTTCATAACATTATAATAATGGAGGGGCGCCTAATTGGCCTAATCATATACTGCTGCCTAGGCAGCTGGAGGACACCCCTTATTTTCTTGAGTCATTAATTATAGTAGCCCTCCGTTTCCCTAGGGCATGGCTCTCATTAAAATAAGTGTATGCGCCGTAGTGCTCACGGGGGGGGGGGGGGGGGGGAATGGGGGGGGGGAGGCTCCGGTTGATGCACCTGTGCAGTTTGACCGTTGTATTAAGCAGTAACCCTGACCCCTTGTGCAGGACACTCAATTAACTGACCCCGGGTGCTAACAAAGCGGCTGGGAAACTCTGGGTGGCAAACCGAACCGCCTTACTGCCAAAGAGCCGCTATCCAAACGATATATATATATATATATATATATATATATATATATATATATATATATATATATATATATATATATATATATATATAATGGCAGATAACTTTACAGGAGTCAAAGTTTCTTTCTGGCTTCTCTTCGAGCGGGGGTTGTGTGGGGTTGTGGTAGGAAATTTCACGGTCAGTAGAGGTTTGTCTGAACTATTCTTAACGACTTCCCAATGTTTCTTGGCGATTGGATAATTTTTGTATTAATGCATAAAGAACAAGGAGACAGACAAAAAAATCTTTAAGTAGCGGCATATTGATGATTAGAGATAAATTAGATCAACAAACAAATTGTGATTAAGGTTAAAACTAGAGAAACATCGACACATTTTTGACGTAGCTTGTTGTGGAAACACTGTCCACGGCTGTTAACAAAAAAAATGGCTCGATTGTAATCATGGACGGATGGAATTTCGGTGAGGACAGAGAGTTGAGAGGGGGTGGGGGTGGGGAGGGGGTGCAGGTTTGTGACGGTGAGGTAGAGAATTTCTAGAGAGGCGTATAAACAAAGAGTTAATGTTCAAGTTTATTAATAGGCTAATTCTATCAACGGCTTATATATATATATATATATATATATATATATATATATATATATATATATATATATATATAATGCTGGAAAAAATTTGAACCCCCCCCTCCCCATGAGACGATCCTGGCTATGCCACTGAACCCTAGTCCTAACTTTAAACCTTACACTAACACCAAAGGGAAGTCATAATAACAGCACATTTTAACGCTGCTTGAAGACGAAATATTTCCACTTTATTCTGATTGGTATTGCTACTTACAATTTTCTTTCAAGTCAGTAAATTATTAGTTGTATTTTTAATTGGATATGCTAACGTTAAGGTTTAATCTGGCAACCGAGTTCTATGGGTAAGAAACACGGCGCCTCTATAATGCTTGTGGCATTTCATGTTAGCAACACATTTGATTTATCGAATGGGTTCATGGGCGGCGAGCGTTGTGCTGGCGAACGACGACGCAGCCCGCGCAAGTCGCTTGATTGCATAGCAGGAGAACAAAGCTACTGTTGACGATTGCTGGTTCTGATATAATTTTCGAAGTTGACGGTTACTCTAAGAACACTGTCTTTTGTTTACATTTGTTTTAATTCTAAAAGCGCGACGGATGTTTTAATTTAGTTTGTGAGTAGAACCGCTGGATGTGTAGACCGTAAATACACAAACCGAGTCATCGATAGCTCGATACAGACGGCCTGCAGCTCACTGGAAGATGGATTCTATAAATAGATCTCTGCTTGTTCTGTTCATTATTCTATGGATGAATAGGATTCGCTGTAATGAGAATGGTGAGTTGATTTCATACATTTTTAAGCGACATGACGAGTAGGTTTAATCTATGTTAAAATCAGAAACAACCAGAGTCAGTAAATTTTATGCATTTTAAATTGCAATCGTCACGATGATGAGCAAGTTTAATGAAGCTCGACATGTGTATCTTATAAACGTTTCTTAATTGAAATAGACTTAGGCGTCTAATTAGTTAATTAAGTGTGGACACTAATTAGTTAATTAAGTAGTACTTTGTTACTGACCTGTGACATTGTACATCAGATAAAGTAGTGGTCCAGTGTCAGTGGGAGAACGAGAGACAAAATGTACTCCCCCCCCCCCAACCTCCACACACGTATAGGGTAAGAAGAAAACTTGGTTTTGGGAGAAAATAAAATAAGAGAACACAAAACACAAAACAAGTTTAATTTTCTTTAAATAATTTCAAGGCAAGTGAACATCAGTGAAAATTATCGTGCTTGATTACAAGAGGATTTTATCACTTTGTTAAAAACCACTATGTTCAGTAATTTTATCATATCTTTCCCTAAGTAGTAAATACAAATACAAGATTCAGTTGTCATCGCCTATTTCAGCGTTTTTTGTGATAGTAATAAAAGAGTTAGTCATTCTTTTTACTTTACTTTACACAAGCAATTTAAAGTTATTTCTAGCTATTTTTCTGTTGATGCAACTACAATACTCAATGTTATTAAATTATATTTTATAAGTATGCAATTATCCTATATATATATATATATATATATATATATATATATATATATATATATATATATATATATATATATATATATATATATATATATAAGCATATATGTGTGTGTGTGTCTTTTATGAATTAATTATGTTACGAGCCGACCTACGGCATATCATACGCCGCCATTTAGTTGTTTTTTTTTTCTACTTTTCAGTTATTCATAATTTGTGAATTCGACACTACCAACGCTGCCACTGAAAATATTTCTTTAAAACACTATAAGTAGCTCGTTAAGGATGATAACCCCCCCCCCTCCGTTAAAGTAAACTCCAATTAGTTACCCCCCCCCCCTACGTTTAAAATCGTTTCAAACTAAATTATCTGCCCCTAATAGTCGTCACTAAACCCGGCTCTGTAAACATTTAGAGTGAACCACAGCTCACCAAATGGGATGGTATGGAGCGCGTTTACAGCTTGTTTTATAGCGTCTCCCAGAAGAGAATTATATATATAGATAGATTAAATTATATTTTATCAGTATGCAATTACCCTATATATATATATATATATATATATATATATATATATATATATATATATATATATATATATATATATATATATATATATATATACTAGGCATGCTGCCCTGCTTCGCTTAGGCTTTCAAAAACATTTAGAATTTGAATGCTTAATTAATTCGCCCGAGGGTCGGTCTACGACCTCAGGAGTTATGAAGAGGTTCCTACGTAGACAATTTTTTTTTCGATTTATAGCTCATATAAGGCGCCGGTCAGTCGAGGTCTGTTTTGAACCCCTCATCGTAGACCTTTAGGCCAACCGGCACCGGCCCCCGTGTTCTGTCGCCCCAAGGCAAAATCCTGCCAAATTTGAAGCGCCTGCGGCGCCGGGAAGTGCCCGATGTCGGGCAACAACTTTGCTTCATATATTATAGAGATTATCAAATTGCATAGATAAACAAAGATTTCCAAAGTAGTTCCTTTCTTTATAGTCTAAAACAGGAAGATTCACATATTTAAAAAAAATAGGTTTTGACTTGGTGTGTCTCGATCCAGCACCTTTAAAGTTTAGGCCGAGAATATCGTATTGTGTAGTCTACATTTCATAGTGTACATAGCTCTAAATCATATTTGAATGAAATAGTTCATTTTTAAAAATTCTAAACTCGGAAGATGACGTCATCAGTTTCGTGCTCTTGTTTTAGTGTTTTAGTGTAAACAATAAGCGACGTCATTGTTAAATGCGTTCTTGTCCCAAGTTTATACACTTTTCCGGTTGCATAAACAATACTGTTTCTCTATATTCGAATACGCCTTTATTTTTTTATTTTTCTTCTTTAAATAAAATTGTGGTTATACATTTAAAACATCTAACATATTATTTTCAACAAAAGTCCGTAAAAAGTTCTCGATATATCGCTGTAGATTCTGATGTGATGTCCGGCGAAAATATTTTGCGGACAGAGAGAGAGAGAGAGAGATGTGCGAACGTGGCCTATTATAGATTTAGATATATATATATATATATATATATATATATATATATATATATATATATATATATATATATATATATATAAGCATATGTGTGTGTGTCTTTTATGAATTAATACACAGTTCATCCGATCTTCATAAAAATTTGTCATACCTTCAGTGTTCAGCAATTAAAACTTTTAAAATCTCGTCACCAAGGCGCCCAACATTTTTTGAATCTATAATAATAGTTTCGCTGTCTGTGTATCTATCTGTGTATGTATGTATCTGACAAGAACGCTCTAGAGAAAACACAAGCAAATTAAAAACATGCATAGTAATTCGAAAAACGAAATATGACGTCGTATAGTAGAAAATAATATCAAGCCGGAGAGTGCACACAGTAATATGACGTCATTGATTCTCGAGTAAACATTGAATTAAAAAGCCAATTTTGTCTAATCTTAACGGTGGTTTTCTTGCAGAGTTTCTTTCATGCAATTATTCGGGTAGGGGTGAAGCCCCCCCCCTCCTAAAGAACGTTTAAGCCGCCACCCCCCACCACCTCCTCCCCCAAAGAAATGACGTGATCGATACTCTATAATAAAAAAGACTGACATTACGGCCTAATTAGTGTGTCTAATCTTAAAAGTGGTTTGTGTGCAGTTTCTATCATTTATCTCTTTGGGTAGGGGCAAAGCCCAATCTTCCACCCCCCCCCCTTCCAAAAAAAAACGAAATATAATTTATAGAGAAAAATATGTACTTTTACCAGTGTCGGCCCTCCCCGCCCCGGAGAATTGTTTTCGCCCCTGCAAAAATTCAAGTGCCCCACCCCGGAAAAATTTCCGAAAGAGACACTATCTGCGAGAGTGAGGTTTATCGGCCAAAAGTAGGAAACGAGTCTATATTTTAGAAGTAGGCTCTACCTTTAGTTTGTATAATCTACAAATGCGGTAATTGTTCCTTTCAGACTTTTTCCTCCCCGGACGGGAGGGGGGGGGGTGTGGAGGGTACTTGAAATTTTCGGGGGTATGGATTGACTAAATTTTCTGAAAGGGGGCGGACACTGATAAAAGTATATAATTCTATTTCGTCGAATAGGATAGCACGGTAGACGTAGCTTGCGGTGTGTGTGTGGGGGGGGGGGAGTCTCTCCCCACAAATAGAGTCGCCTTAAAGAAACTCTAAATGAGACTTTTGTTATTATTGACATTAAGTGCAAGGTTTAGGGTTATGGGTACGACTATATTTAGTATCAATGCGCAGTAACTACGTGTAGACCACGCTTAAATCCAATTAAAATGCCGATTCTGGATAAAATTCCGTTTTCAATGTCATTTTTCGTTTCTGGTTCAATTTGATGTTAAGGTGGTAGCTTTAGCTTTGGTTTTGGTTTAGAGAAAAGAGACAACACTATCAACCCAGCGCCCAGTAGCGTAGCGAGGGGGGGGGGGGGGGGGGGGGACGGACATATGTTCCCGGGCGCCGACATTAGGGGGCGCCAAAATGGGTTGGAAAAATAAATTGAAAGGTTGAGGGGGGTGCAAATCGAAAGTTTGAAACGAAACGTGACGTCACATATAGTGGGAAATATTCTAAAGCCGGAAAGCCTTGGTGTCACCCCCTAAATGGTGTCACCCGGTGCGGTCCGCACCCCCGCCCCCCCCCCCTCGCTACGCCCCTGCCCACATCAGTGGCATTATATTGGCATTTAGTACCAACAGCAGTGTTATTGAGTACCCACATCTTCAGCACTGAGTACCAACAGTAGTGATACTGAGTACCCACTGCTAAGGCTGAGCACCTACAGCAATGTTATCAATTACAAACAGCGTCAGCGCTGAGTACCCACAGCAGTGACACCAAGAACCAACTACAGTAACACTGAGTACCCACAGCAGTGACACCAAGAACCAACTACAGTAACACTGAGTACCCACAGCAGTGACACCAAGAACCAACTACAGTAACACTGAGTACCCACAGCAGTGACACCAAGAACCAACTACAGTAACACTGAGTACCCACAGTAGTGACACAAAGAACCAACTACAGTAACACTGAGTACCCACAGTAGTGACACAAAGAACCAACTACAGTAACACTGAGTACCCACAGCAGTGACACCAAGAACCAACTACAGTAACACTGAGTACCCACAGCAGTGACACCAAGAACCAACTACAGTACCCACAGTAGTGACACAAAGAACCAACTACAGTAACACCGAGTACACAGAGCAGTGACACCAAGAACCAACTACAGTAACACTGAGTACCCACGGCAGTGACACCAAGAACCAACTACAATAACAGAGTACCCACAGCTTCTGCACTCAGTACCCACTATTTCAGCACTGAGTAATCATAGCAGTGGCAATATGTAGCTACATCACTGTCATTGGTAATCCATAGCAGTATCATTTGAGTACGTACAGCAGTAGCATGTAGTTCCAAAATCAGAAACATTGGGTACCATCAACAGTAGCAGTGAGTACCCACAGCAGTGACACTAAGTACCCACAGCAACTGCATTGAGCATGGAAGACTATACAACGGTTGAAAACTGTCATTATTAGACATTATTTGTTCACGTGGTTTGTGTGTATAGCAAATATAGGTCGTATGAGAAATTATGCGTTTTACTAGTTGACCTTGAATAGTTCACGAAAAGGGCGTAACCAGGGACAACTAAGGCCATACACATTTAATGAAGTCTTTTCAGATGTAGTGTGTTACTTTAGTCTAGTATTTTCACGACAGCAAGGTTACAAAGTACCCATTCATAAGAGTTAGACAGTGAGCAGGTGCAGCAGAGTTATGTAACTCTATGCCTAAGCTACTAAACTGTAGTTTTCATGAATTTTACAAGTGAGTCTACATCTCCTTGCATGTCCATATCTTTAGTTTGTGATATTCTATTATTTTTACGTGGATATTTAGAGAAACACGTGTCAGTAAAAATAATAAAATGACCCGGACTAAATACTTTTTTTTATTACTGTTTGGCCCATTAGTGCCTGATGTCGCGAATTCGCGACATACCATAATTACCATAAAAAATAAGTCCAAATAAAATAAAATCAAACAATATATCTCAAATTCAATATGACGAAAGAAAATCAGCGCAAGCAATTTTCTACACACCTGTCAAAACCTTGTCATCGTCTACCCCCCTCTCCCACCCCACCCGAAAAAAAGACAAACAATTAGTAGAAAAAAATTATTTTAACCATCGTCCGCAAAATATTCCAGAATGTCCATCGTACAGGCGGTCATATTACCAAATCGCATTGAACTCCCTCTTAGCACTTTGGTACGTGTTTGTTTAAAAGAGCGCCATACAGTGTGATCTTCTTCTTCTTCTGCGTTCTTAATTTTAGTGTTGGAAGAGATTACCTCCAATTTCAGCCTGCTTTTCTTTTTGGATTTGCTTCTATAGCCTTTGCCCAACAAAGAACAAAAAACAAGTCAGCAGTTATTTGATTTTGGAGTTGCCTCTGCTGGAAGAGTTGCTGTCCCCAGCTGTCAAGCCTCATCTGCCCGAGGGTTCGAACTCGAGAACTAGCAGAACAATTTAACACGCTTAGACAGAACAAATCAAAATTATTTTTTAAAGTACCAATTATCGATGATTCTCATGTGCTATACACTGTTTACAAAAACGTACACCGTTTATATTATATATTATATATATTATATCGAAAATGATAAATGCAATTCTGGATTGCTATTTACTTAGTATTAGAAAAAAAAACATTTTATATTAAATATTTATTTTAAATTTTCAAATATACTCACCAAAAGAGGTCAACAGTGGTTTGAACTCCAGTTTTAATTTAACGTAATTCTTAACAATTTTTAAGCCTAACCATAACCTTATCATTACAGGTTTATTCACGTATGAGGTAGACCTGTGTACTCTGGAGGAGCTCCAATTACAGTGCCAATCTGGTGACGTCATTTACGTGATGCAGGTGCGATGCGGAGACGAGCCTTGTGAAGATTTGGTCAATCAAACATTGTACCAGCTCTGTCATGGGCATCAAGTATGTTCGAATCTTGATCTGCAATCTTTGCTAGGGTTGAATTGTTCCAGAGTCAAGCAAGCAGCTCCACATGTTCAGTTCAAATGTTTGAAAGGTATGTTTCTTTTTTTTTAAAGTTGGCTTCTCATAACTATTCATTCTAATCACTACTTGCAGTTCAATCCAACATTTTGTACATTTTCCATTTCATTTTTACTTTTTCGTATACAAAGTATAGAGGAATTATTGTAATCGCTGAGTCAGAAAAACATAGTTTTGCAGTTTTGTCTGTATGTCTGATAACACGATAACTTGACAACCGTTACAGCTAGGTTGGTGAAATTTCATATATATGTATTATATCAAATTTGTAGTTCTGCATCAACTTTTCAATGATTTCCGGTAACCGGAATTGAAGCTAACTCTAATTTTGCAAAAGCCTATAACTTGAATACTGTTTCTGATAGATAAATGTAATTGCACATGTATGTAAAAGATATAATTTTCTACCTTCTGTCAAATTTTAAGTAATTTCCGTTGAACGGAAGTAGTATTTTACGCAATTTCCGATTTCTCAAAACACAGCTGAGAATTTAAAATGTACTAATAATATTCCGAACTATTATACACAGATTGTTTGGCGTTCACTTGGTACGCTCTTCTTTTTTCGACGAAATTCTATTCTATTTTTAAAAGTTTAAGTAATTAAAAATGGATTAAAAATTATGTTTGAGATGTTTCTTACAAGTGTCATGGAGAACTATCACACCACCCGCCTCATTGAACACATTTTGCAGCTATTGGCAGCTTTGCATGGCTTCAGCCGAAAAGATTATAGCATGGGCTATTTAGCGTTTCTAATCTCATCATTCAAAAAGAAAACCCACATGTTTGATTATTACTTTAATTTCAGTTGTTTTCTTATAACCTCACCTACTGTTTGCTACACGATCTGTGTTCATTGCAAAAGAGCCATCTATAGCTTTGAGATTTACATTTTTAATTGTCAGATTTTAATTTTTACACCAGCATTGAAAAATGTAACGCTGAACAGAACACTATAAAAAATGAATAACTACTGCACTGTTACAAGCTTTTAATTAACTTCCTTACTTCCTCTATCTGTCTGTCTATCGTCATAAATCGAAACTGCTGAGTGAAATTTTAAGCACTTTTAAGTGAGCGAATCATTTTTTAAACGTGGGTCAAGACCTGATGACAATGCAATGTGACATTAGATTTGACTTAACTGGATGTTTAATGAATTATTTTTTTAAAAATTTACTAATTAAAGTAGAGGGATCTGCTATTTACCAATCTATTATCCTCGCATTTTCATGTTCATATGGCGCACAATAGTTTTTAGTCACGCAACTCTATTGTGTTAAACATTTTAAAGTACAAAGAAAATGAATCAAAAAAATTTATTAACAAGCTTTTATGTAGTATCGCACTAAATTGAGGAAAGAAATAAGGTTAGGTTTGCCTGTTTGCCTTCCTGGGATATAGGCCGCTGACAAGAGCTTTTCGGGCGTCTCTGTCCTGGGCTAGTCACTCAAACTGTCCCCAGGTGTATCCAATCTTCTTGGTGTTTTCTTGCAAGTCACGTCTCTAGGTCTTTCTTGGTTTGCCCCTCCTCCTCCTGCCTTGTGGATTCCAGGTGAGGGTCTGTCTTGCTATGTCGGATATAGGCTTCCTGAGTGTGTGACTCATCTATTTCTATTTTCTCTGAAGGATCTTTTCTTTAGCTGGCAGTTGATTTGTCCGTTGCCATAGAACATCATTTCCGATGAATTTAGAAAAGAAATTACTTTCTTTATATATGTAATAATACACTGCTATTATATATTTAAAAAAAAACTCTTTATTTTCTCCAATTTAGTGCATTATTACATAAACGCGTGTTATTAAAACGTTTTCGTGCATTTTTGTTTCAAAGAAATCTTAGCTTTTCTAATGAGTGACGCTCATTAAAAATTAAATCAAGGTTACTAAAAGATGCAGGACAATATATATATATATATATATATATATATATATATATATATATATGTATATATACACATATATATATATATATATATATATATATATATATATATATATATAAAAGGAGAGAGATATAGAGAGTGAGTAGAAGACAAACGCAAGAATTTTAGGATAGCGTTAGTTTATACCGTATTTTTTCAAGATTTATATTCCCTAACAGTAACTAGAAACTTAATTTCCATTCCATTACCACACTCTAAAATTTACATCATAAGTTATGCCAATTAATCTGTATTATAATTTACCATTATACAATTTCTCCTTAGATATTACTTCATCATGCGTGCTTTAATTTTTATTTCTAAAAGGGGTCGTCCATTTATTACTTCCAAGCTGAGGGGGAGGGGGTGGTTCGGGTCCATTCGGACGTATAAATGTAGAATTTATCATGGAAGTTTCAAATATTTTAAAATTACCAAAATCTTCCTAGCAAACGTCACCCAACTTCAGTAAAAGCCAGGACCCAGCAACAAGTTTTTTCTAAACTATTTACTATGCTATATGGATTTTATTGAAAAATAAATTGAGCAACATGAAGCTCATGTTCTAAAAATATTGCAAACAATGGACGCGCGTAGACGGGGGTTGGGTCTAAAATTCAACATTTTTGTGGACGTCGTAAATGAATGATCCCAAACAAGTAGTTGGCATAAAGTTGTTTTTTTGCCTTATTTGAAACGAGAAAAATGGCCCGTTGAGGTAGGATACAACGGGCGCTAGGTTGATAGTGTTGTCTATTTTCTCGGTACTTTAATTTATACAAAATATAGTCATAGGCATTTCCCTAAACCATGCACCTAATCTCATTCATGACAAAAGTCGCATTTAGAGTTTCTTTCAGGCAACTCTACTTGGGAGGAGGGGGCTTCGCCCCCCTCCCTCCCCCCCCCCCACACACACACTCCAAAACATGTCTACCGTCCCATTCAACGAAATATAATTATATACTTTTTCCAGTGTTCGCCCCCTCCCAGAAAATTCTACCCCCGCCCCCGAAAATTTCAAGTACCCCCACCCCTCCCCGGGGAGGAAAAAATCTGAAAGAATCACTGGTCGCATTTGTAGATAATACAAACTAAAGGAAGAATCTGGGCGGGGCTTCGCCCCTACCGGAAGAGATGCTTGAAAAAAAAACTGCACGCTAAACACTTTTTAGATTAGAAAAAGTTCCCCCCTCCGGGGAGGAAAAAGTCTGGAAGAAACACTGGTTTCGCGCTTAGCCACTACCCGAAGAAAACCACTTTTTAGAGTAGACACAATAATTAGGCGGTAATTTTATTATAGAGTATCGATGAAGAAATTTCTTTTGAGTTGGGGAGGAGGGGGGGGGGGGCTCAGACGTTCTTACGCGGGGGTGGGGCTTCGCCCCTACCCGAAGAATTGTATGAAAGAAACTCTTCACGCAAACCATTTAGATTAGACAAAATTGCCTTTTCATTCAATGTTTACTCGAGAATCAATGACGTCATATTACTGTGTGCACTCTCCGGCTTGATATTATTTTCTACTATATGACGTCATATTTCGCTTCCGTTTCATTATGCATGTTTTTAAATTGCTTGTGTTTTCTCTAGAGCGTTCTTGTCAGATACATAGATAGTAGATAGATACACAGACAGCGAAACTATTATTATAGACGAGAAAAAGGGCCCGTTGAGGAAGGATACAACGGGCGCTAGGCTGATAGTGCTGTCTCTTTTCTCTAAACTAAAACCACCCCACCCCCCCACACACACCACCCCCCACCCCCACCCCCAAACACCACCCCCACCACACACACTACCCCCCACCCCCCCCACACCACCCCCCACCCCCACCCCCACCCCCCAAAAAACATGTCTACCGTCCCATTCAACGAAATATAATTATATACTTTTTCCAGTGTCCGCGCCCTCCCCGAAAATTCTACCCCCGCCCCCGAAAATTTCAAGTACCCCCACCCCTCTCCGTGGAGGAAAAAGTCTGAAAAAAACACTGGTGTCGCGCTTAGCCACTACGCGAAGAATTGCATTAAAGAAATTGCAAGAAAACCACTTTTTAGATTAGACACATTAATTAGGCGGTAATTTTATTATAGAGTATCGATGAAGAAATTTCTTTTGAGTTGGGGAGGAGGGGGGGGGGGGGGGGGGCTCAGACGTTCTTACGCGGGGGTGGGGCTTCGCCCCTACCCGAAGAATTGTATGAAAGAAACTCTTCACGCAAACCATTTAGATTAGACAAAATTGCCTTTTCATTCAATGTTTACTCGAGAATCAATGACGTCATATTACTGTGTGCACTCTCCGGCTTGATATTATTTTCTACTATATGACGTCATATTTCGCTTCCGTTTCATTATGCATGTTTTTAAATTGCTTGTGTTTTCTCTAGAGCGTTCTTGTCAGATACATAGATAGTAGATAGATACACAGACAGCGAAACTATTATTATAGACGAGAAAAAGGGCCCGTTGAGGAAGGATACAACGGGCGCTAGGCTGATAGTGCTGTCTCTTTTCTCTAAACTAAAACCAACCCACCCCCCCACACACACCACCCCCCACCCCCACCCCCAAACACCACCCCCACCACACACACTACCCCCCACCCCCCCACACCACCCCCCACCCCCACCCCCACCCCCCAAAAAACATGTCTACCGTCCCATTCAACGAAATATAATTATATACTTTTTCCAGTGTCCGCCCCCTCCCCGAAAATTCTACCCCCGCCCCCGAAAATTTCAAGTACCCCCACCCCTCTCCGTGGAGGAAAAAGTCTGAAAAAAACACTGGTGTCGCGCTTAGCCACTACGCGAAGAATTGCATTAAAGAAATTGCAAGAAAACCACTTTTTAGATTAGACACATTAATTAGGCGGTAATTTTATTATAGAGTATCGATGAAGAAATTTCTTTTGAGTTGGGGAGGGGGGGGGGGGTTCAGACGTTCTTACGCGGGGGTGGGGCTTCGCCCCTACCCGAAGAATTGTATGAAAGAAACTCTTCACGCAAACCACTTAGATTAGACAAAATTGCCTTTTTATTCAATGTTTACTCGAGAATCAATGACGTCATATTACTGTGTGCACTCTCCGGCTTGATATTATTTTCTACTATACGACGTCATACTTCGTTTTCGTTTCACTGTGCAAGTTTTTAATTTCCTTGTGTTTTCTCTATAGCGTTCTTGTCAGATAGAATTTTTGCTTGTGTTTTCTCTAGAGCGTCCTTGTCAGATAGATAGATACATACACAGACAGCGAAACTATTAGTATTAATGTTTCACTTTTTAACGCCTTTGAAATTTTGCACTTTTTAACGCTATATTTCTTGCACTTTTTTAATGCCACATTTATTGCACTTTTTAACATCATATCTAACCCTAAACGCCACGTCTAGGAAGAAGCGCTCCTTGCAGGGCTAATATTTGTTCGCGCTACATCGAAGGAATTCGCTGTCCGGCCGACAGACGCATCCATATAGAGCAGCTATCGTGTGGCTCATGGAATGGACCTTGCCCATCGAACACTTATGAAACAATTTATTTGTGCGAAGGCTCTTCCTATTGTGCAACATCGGGTCTGAAAGAACTGCTGGAGAGACAATGTACAGCTGGGGAGAACAAAGGGAATGTGATTATCACTTATGTTTGTATTCCAGGTAGGCCTGATTTTATATCCACATCAACCGTAAAAACAAAATGAATTTAGTCATCACTTACTTGGTATTAATTTACACTTACCGACAATTTTTCAACCACGTATTTACTGACATGACAGGCTATGTGATCTGTTCTTCTACCAAAGTATCTCCTGTTCTGTTATTGAAAATGCTAATCCTTAAATTGAATTTAAAAAATAAATTTCATGTCTAGATATAATGAAAGTTCTTTATTCTCGCCGCCATAGTATTTAAACAGATCCTTGTCTTTTCTTTGTAAACTAAAAATAATGAAAAATAAAATTAAGTAGTAATAATTTTATGATAGAATAAGGTTGACTCGTGTCAATAAAATATACTGAACTCTTGATTGTCAGCATGTGATAAATTACTGCTCCTTGATGAAAAGTGTTCAATAGCGGATGAACTAACATTTAAAATAAATTGTTTGTAAAAACATGGTTTGAAAATGCACTGAAAATAAGAAACCTAATGAACTTGCTTTCTGCAATAAAAGTTTATAAGATCGTTTCCATATGTTAGTGACCAAAGCATTTCAAAACTTGTTATTAAAAAGGTTTTTATTTTTATTCTTCCACTTTTTAGTAATTCGTTTTAAATGAAGTTGACACCACCTAGGATCCGACTATAAATATTTCCGTTAGAACCCAGCCAGTATCCTCGATCTCTAAAAGATCACGCGAGAAATCAGCCAACTTTGACAAACAATTCACTGGAAGCTGCTCTAAAAGATAGTTATCACGCGAGAAATCAGCCAACTTTGACAAACAATTCACTGGAAGCTGCTCTAAAAGATAGTTATCACGCGAGAAATCAGCCAACTTTGACAAACAATTCACTGGAAGCTGTTCAAGCGATCGATAGTATTTGATCTTGTTATCTCCCCTTACATTATTAAAAATACAAATTTTTAAATAAAATTGTAAGGACTAAAGTAATGTCTGATTAATTTAAAAAAAAGATATATTTGCCTTTTCATCGAAGAACAAATGTATGGAAAGTTTAAACAAAATAGCTGTATTGGAAAGGGGTCAAAATTGAGATACAAGATTTGCCAAGTAAAAAAAAAAAAAAAAAAAAAAAAAAAAAAAAACCTGAGTAAACGGCTAAGCCTCCCCCACCCAATTGTTATAATTAGAAGGTAAAACATTCTATTAATTCTTTTACAAGCTTTTATTTAACTTGCTTCCTCTGTATGTCTGTCGTCCGTCAAAGATTGAAACTGCCGAGCGAAATTTCGAACACTTCTAACTGAGCGGTTAGCAATGCAGTCTGACATCAAATGAATTTTCTTAAAAGTATAGGGTGACCTACTACTATTCCGTACTATTATACGCGTATTATCATGTTCTTTTGGTGCGCAATAGTTTTTAGTCATGCAACTATATTATTTTTTTACATGTAAGGTACTGAAAAAATGCATTAAAATGCATTAAATAAACCGGGAGTGATCTCCCCTAAACTTTCTCGAATATTCTTATATAACTCGGAATATAGACATGATTTTTAATTACTTAAACTTTTAAAAATAGAATAGAATCTTGTAGAAAAAAGAATTGCGCACCAAGCGAACGCCAAAAGAAAATGTGCATAATAGTGCGCAATATTATTAGTACTTTTTAAATTTACATGCGTTTTTTGAGAAATCGGAAATTACTACTTCCGGTCAACATAAATTACTCAAAATTTGATAGAAAGTAGAGAATTAGATCTTTTACTTACATGTGAAATTTCATTTATCTATCTGAAATAGTACTCAAGTTATAGGCTTTTTAAAAATTCAAAGTAGAAAAAGTACC